CTGGTGGGCATTCTTTAGTTCCCAGCAGATATCCTTCAAGGTTGTGGCCTTTAATAATAGGCATAATCATATTTTTTCATAACAAAAAGTTGTTTTTGTCAAGCTTAATCGAAGGCGTTTGAGTGAGATTCATTCCAAAAGGAGATGCCTAAAACACAATAGTTTCTGTGGGAGTGGATGAAGAGGAGATGAACTCAGTTGCAGCAGCTTGACCTCTAGACTCGGTGTTGGCCATTTTCCTGCTCTGATACCAAGTGAAAATAATTGATTTCCTCTATATTTCAACTCAATAAAAACATCCTTTACACCATCCTTATATAGACTAAGTATTTTATACAAATAAAAAACATCTAAGTGCCTGATATTGCTACCACCTATACACGGCTGTCAGCTGTAGAACAAACATTATTCTCCACTCCTGAATTTAAGGAGTGGAAGCACAATGTATTCAGTACAATCTCAGCAACGACTATCACCTTGATTCATCTGATGACTCATTAATTTTAACATGACATACATCACATTGTTGAAAATAATCCTTCATCGTTTTGTGCATATTAGACCAAAGAAAATCGTGCGTTGTATGGAAGAGAGTTTTATGAAACCTGAAATGCTCATCGATTGATGATAATGGTTTTCAGCAATTATTTTTGGAATCAAGGTTGAGGTTTGTCTCTTTTGAACCATACGCCATCTCGTTGGAGCAGTTTTTAAATTGATTTGGATGAACTTTTCTTTATCAACTATTCATAAAATGAATCATGTTGGACTTCTTTTTGGTGCATTGGCCACCAATCTACATGTGGCATAGAAGTAGACAAGAATTGAAATTCAACTACAAGTGAAAAAATATGCACCCTGATTTTCTGACTCTTTTGTATTTAATTTCATAATTGAAACCCAGAATCTTTCGCAGCCATCGAGTTTGTGATGACGTAGTAATTCGTTGCTCTAGTAGGTACTTGAGACTTTTTTGATCGATGCGAGCCATAAATGGTTTCCCAAGCAAATATGGATGCCATTTCTTGATTGCTTTGACGTCCTCTTCATAGGTGGACAATGTCAAAGCCGATCTTATCGCTTCGCTAAAATATGTCATCAGTTGATTGCGTGTTGGGTAAGAATTACACCTTGCATAGCATCAATTACATATCATTGTAAAAAATTCGAGGAGGGTATAGTTAATTCCTCTTTCAATTGTTTAAAAGCAACCTCTGCGACCTTATTCCATTAAAATCCACCGTTTGTTACGAGTTAGGTTAAAAGAGCTGCTATACATCAGAAATTACACATAAACTTCTAGTAAGAGCCTGCTAAATCAAGATTACCACAGGCCCTTTTCATCATTGGTGTTGTAGGCTAGTTAATAACATCTTGTGTTTTAGTTTGATCAACTGCCACTCCTTGTTCAAAAATTATATGAGAAGTACTCAACCTATAAAACATCAAATTGACATTTCAATTCTTTTGCAAATAGACGATTAGATGACTAAATATTTAGGACAAATTTCAAATTTGTGAGATGGTCATGTCATCAAAGAAAATTGTTGCGGAAATCTTCAAGAAATTTTGATTCCAGGCTCAGAAAACCATCAAACTTCACACATACACACGGCTAGGGAACCTAGTGAATATATATGGATGCATTAGGTTACCTATAAAGTTGGGCAAAAAAACTTTAAGTGGGCTGCCAATTAAAAAATCTTAAAATGGGCTAACAATCCAATATTACCTCCAATTGGTTGTTTCTAGGTCGAGCCAAGTCTATGGTTTCAATAAATTATCCGACAACTATTTTAAATCATTGTCCAAATTTATTAAGTATTAAAACTAACAAATTTCCACATTGATACACAATCAACCTACAAGCAAACAAAACACAAAGTTTATAATTGCCTAATTAAGGTAACCAAATAAATTGTTATCAAAGACATTACCTCGTGTCTTGGACTGGAAATACATACCATACTTCTTCATTACTCACCAGGGTTAAGGTAAAAAAAAAACCAAAGTAGAAGTAGATAATCACAATAATCAAGAAAGAACAAATAAACATGCGATAGAGATATAACATAGGATAACATACAGATTTTTTCAAACATGTTCACACAGAACAATAGATTAACACCAAATTAATTGATCAAATGGCCAAACACATATGCAATAAATGCATAAATGACCCTACAAAAAGTTCTCACAACACTTACCATATCCCATTATGTGTAGCTCGCACCTCGAGAACACATATCTCATCTTATCGTCAACCATACTCACTAGATTGATGACTAACCCATGTCTCACTTGTAAACATGTATAAATCTTAAGTCCACGGGATAATCCTCTATCTCTACCTCACTTTTCTTAACCTAAGTGGATAATGGGTCTCCACCTAATAGAAGTCATAGTCTTAATTGATTGAGGATTCCAACAATGATGGTTCATATGCACCCACAAAAGAAGAGTAGAATAGAGAAAGCAATTGGAAACTCTAGAAAGAATCCAAAGACGGACACACACTCACGTTTTCTCTCAATACACATGAACACCATCAACATTTAATCACATCTCCACTCGTGATCCAAATGTCAAACATTCTTGTAGATATCACTAATGTACCCTTAGACATTTATACTCCACATTACCAAAAGACATAACGCATACTTACTGCTAATGTATCTCAAATACACTATGGCAAATCGATATCTTTGACAACCACAAATGTTAGGGCTCAATTTAAATTGACCCACATACCACAAGGTTACTCCAACACCAGTGATAAAAAAAGTCTACAAATGATTTATTCCACAACAGGAATGGTAAATGTGACACTTATAAAGAAAATAAAAGAAAGATTTGGTTATTTTACTACATTCACAAAAGAGGCTTACAAAGAGGAAGAAGATAACCTACAAATAGCTTCCCCTATAATCCCACAAACCATACAGACTCACAAAGATAAATGAGAAAATGACTGTCTATCTTCCTTCTCACTACCACACTCTCTCACACCACTCACAAACAAAAGAAGTATGTCATATATCTTAATCCACTATGCATGCAAACACATTAGACCAAGTAATTAGATTGCTTTCAAATTCATGCAAATACACATATCAAACATATTGAAAGTCATATAATCACGTAATTTTATTGAAAGTCTAAAAATAAAAATTCTAAAGAATAAAAATCTAAAATACTAAAAAAATTAAAAATCTAGAAAATAAAAATAGGCCAAGCTTTTATTGGTTATTTAAATAAATATTTAAATGAACACATAAAAATTCTCAATCCCCGTCAATAATTTTATATTTTTGCTATCTTTTTAGAATTTATTATTTATTATTATTTTACTTTTATAGCGAAAACAATATTGTAAGATTCACCAACTTTAAGATGTATATATTACTTGACAATATATAAACATAAAATTGTTCCATTCTACAGAATAATTAAATTTTATGGAATAAAATTTCATAAAACAATTTCTCGAAATTCCAAACCAAATGAATTTTTCAATTTTCTATTCTAAGAAATAGTTTTTGCAAAATGATAGACCAAATGTGTTTTTATAAATCTTGCAACAGATTCTCAAAATAGATAATTAAAAATGAATTCAAAACTTAAAATTGAAATGCAAATCAAGCCACCCCTAAAACTTCTCTGGAGTGGAGTATTAATATGTGCAAACTTTGTTTTCCATAAAAGAATTTACTAAGACTACATTATTTTTGCATAAAATGATACTATTCAGAAAGTATAGTTGTTTCTTGAAGCACTAGTGAAATGAAACCAACTTAGCTTCTGTTTAACAACAATTATTTGAATTTTTTTTTCTACGTGCTCAATTTCAATTACACATTCATACAATAAAATGTTCTGTATATTAATCCAAAGTTTTTCTCTATTTTTTAACCGCACATTCCCCCAAAAATCACTATTAAAACCATTGTTTTTTTTTGAAATAAAGGTTGTCAAACGGGGGCTAATTTCAGTATTTGGAATTAACCTTTCTTTTTGGGCTAATTTCTTCAAAAACAATTAAATTACTCAAGTTAGATGATTCTTGTGCGGCTAAAACTAATCTACGAAGGTTTAGATAACTTCCTTTTCACATTAAATTGTTCACACAAGGCATTTCACATATTAGCCAACCACCCATATTTAAATCTAGCATGAGTCAAATGAGAAACTACTGTATTTGGATACCATTTTAATGACATTTGGCACAATAACACATTTTGCTACAACACATTAGTCAGATTAATATAAATATCAATGGAGCCTTTGAGATGTGAAGGACTAAAATACCCTTTCTTGGTCAATGAAAATTATGTAATTACGTACCCTCAACCCATTAACGTGTTATGAAATATAATGCAAGGGTAAAAACGGAATGTAGTGCATATTATACTGTGCATCTTAAGGAAAAAGTTAAATGAAGAACATTAGGTGTCATAAACTTTTAGTAATTAATTGATAAATACTTAGAAAGTTCATAGAACTAGCTTACGATTATTAAGAATATAAGTTGGATTTAGTAAAATCATATATGTATAAACGTATAAGTTAAAATGCATTTATGTCGGTAGCCTCGTAATTGTAGTATTAAGAAATTTATAACATTATCTTTCTTACTTTCATTAGAGCAGTACAATCAGTTTTTAATAATGGAGATCATTAAAAATTTATCGAGTAACCCTATTAAAAAATGCTTCACTTCAATTTTTTTAGCAACAGTGGGAAGGAAATTATAGATAACTGGACCATATCTGGAGACTTTTAAAAAACTATAATATAAGTTTAAGGACTAAATCAATACTTGAGCAATAGGTTGATGACCAATAGTGTAAATATGGCCATTACAAATTAGGAGCAAGAAAAGATAGCACGCTTTCAAGGTTATTCACCTACGATTTCAACCTAGTTGGAAGAGGGGATGAGAGATAGAACTGTATGTATATAATCGCAGAAAACACGCACAAACGCGCACACACAGATCTATGGGAGCTCCAAAAAAACTTATGTTGCTAATTCTTCTGATTTTTTCTCACGTTTTTATATGCAAAATTTTATCAGAAGGCGTCACTAAAGATGAAGCCCAGCAGCTCAGAGATGAGGTCACCTCAATTCTTATATTCCAAATAAATTCCATCAGTAAATCATTTTATTTTTTCTGAAACATTTTATTGAAATCTGCCTCTATTGGGTACAATTCAAGTAAGATTGCTTTATATTAAAATTCTGTGTTTTTTTGAGAGTACTTTATAAGGTTTTTGTGGGTTCATGTGATTGTTGTACTTTTTAAACAAGTGTCAAAAGAAAAGATAATGTATTTTTAGTGGGAAGTGTTGTTCATGGAATTTGATTTAAGTTTTGCACTTCTGTTGATCTGGATAGTCATATATGTGTGAATTAATTGATTTTGCTTGAGGGCGTATATAGATTTGGAGGAGAAAAGAAAAGTGAAGGAAACATGAGTAAAGAATGCCATGAAAAGTTGATTGGAATTCAGATTTTAGTGATTTTTTTGTTCCGTGGTTTAATTATGTTTAGGCTCTTGAAAGAATCAGTCATTTCTATAAATGTCTGTAAGATTGAAACTTGTTCTCATTTCATTATACCTGATTAAAATGTAAATCGGTTTGAAAGATTCTATCGGTTTGAAAGATTCTAAAATAATCGAATATTATTTAGGTACGTGAAATGTTCTATCATGCTTTTGATGGATACATGAAGCATGCTTTTCCGCATGATGAATTGAAGCCCTTATCCTGCGTAGGAGAAGATACACTAGGAGGGTATGCATTAACATTGGTAAGACTGGCTGCTATTTTCTTCTTGTATGTCTATGGATAGTAATGAATTTTTAAGTAACTGTATGTTCCTTTGATCAGATCGATTCATTGGACACCCTGGCCTTGCTTGGTGATCAAGAGCGCTTCTCTGCATCTGTTGAATGGATTGGTAAAAATCTTCGATTTGATATTGTGAGTAAGGATTTTTTGTTAGTCTTATAAGATAACAAACTTGCAGTTCATGCTTCCATCCATGATTTTGTTAAGCTTTTTGCTTTTTGCAGTAGTTAGCTTCAATTTATTGGGACTCAGATTTTATCATGAGTTCTTTGAGAATATGATATTTAAGAAGTCCTTGAGGAAGCAGCGGTGTACTTGTATCTGAAATAAATAGGGCTCTCTAACGGGAGTTAGGTTTTAGCTGGTAATATTAATTGATATGAAAATTGCTCCTTCAACTTTTTGTACAATTGAAGTTCAGTAGAGGTTTTTTCTTTTTTTTCCTTCCAGTCTTAAGCCTTTGTTTTGCTTATGTTGATAAATTGTTTATAAATACTCACTACTTTTTACCACATTTCGAGGGGCTTACAGGTACTACCATTTATCCGCTGCTCATTTTTATCTATTTATAATTTAAATTGTTTATAAACACTACCTTATATGCAAACGACATTTTATTTTATTTTTATTTTTTTGTATGATGTGATATCATTTTTTTTATACTCTCTACAAACATATTTACACAAATTACCTTTTATCTGCAATATATAGGAAGTTCTTATTTGCTTTTTATTGGTCATTTTCGAGCCCCAGGCATCATTATTGAATTTGACCTTCAGACTTATCAACAAAAGGTAGATGGAAATCCACCATTTGTATTAAGATTAATATGTACTGTGTCTGTTATCTATTGTTGTTGTAACGAGCTCCTAATGGGTGGCACTTATTGCTTAGATGGACTTATTTGCCAGCCCTTTTATAAATGAGATACTCAGAATACATTCGTGCGAATGTTGCCAACTAATGGAGTTGCATTGAAGAACTTGTTTCTGTAATGGATACCAGATTACTAGCATATTCATAGCCATGTTAAAAGTCTGACATTGATGCTCGTCAATGTCTTTGTTGTCCCTTGTATTCTTTTGGTACCTTGAAAGTTGATTGTGTGAGGGGGTGCATGTTCAAAGATTAGATAGCAATATTTGATTTTTGGAAGTCAAGTTTTAGTCTAAATTTTGGAGTTCTTTGCTTCACATTTGCAGAATAAGACAGTATCTGTCTTTGAAACTACGATAAGAATCCTTGGAGGTTTACTTTCTGCTCATCTCATTGCCACTGATTATAACACGGTATTATGTTATACATATATGAATCTTTATTATTACCATTACATGTTTTTTTCTTGTTTCCCTTTCAATTTGCTCATTATTTTTTTTCCTGTCATTTAATAAATTTTTGATGTCATGAATAAATTAAAGGTAGTAGGATCGGTTAAACATTTATGATATAAATGCATTGCAAAATAACAATATTGTATGGACAAGCAGGCCATTGGCACACACGTAGACATGCTCCGCTGCAGTAACATGAGTTTGCTGCATGGGTTCCTGAAAGCATGAATAATCTGTATACGTGGAGCCATGATAAGATTTTCTATTTTGACTACTGCAATAATAAGTTCAGTTGCTAAGGATGCTCAACATAATTGCATACTCTGATTTTTTCTTTGCTAATGGTAGGTGGAACTTCTGTTCCTCCTACAAACGAATGACAAGCTAAAGTTTTGCTGCCAATCACTTCGGCTACACGAATCATTATTTGCCACCCTTTTGGGTCTGCTGACTGCGTTTTTAGTATTTTATATGATACAGTAATGCCAATGGACACATTTCAAACATATAACTCCCATATTGAAACATTCTGCTTAGATGATCTTGGGTTGTTTGTCTTTTGTTTTCTTGCAAAGGAAAGAATTCTGCCTTCTAACTAGCATCCCTCTTTGTATTGTCAAGTCAACCTCTGTTACTTGGGTACAAGTATGACTGCTTGATGGTGGTATGTGTCTGAATCTGAATTTCATCTAGTCTTAGAATGTGGGAGGCATGGAGGCAAACCTTTTTTTTTTTTCACTTGTATGTATAATTCAATGTAAAGTGAAATGTTCAAAATACAAAGAATTATCTGGGTTCTGTTCTGTTCTGTTCTGTTATCCAATTGCAAATATGTGCCATTGTTAATTCAATTTGTTTATTAGAATTACAGTAACAAAGTCCAATTCACAAGAAAAATCAAAATTTTATGATTTGTTGGCTTTAATCCAAAATTTACTTATAGTATTGATGGGCTTATGACAAATGAATTTTTGCTTGGAAATTATTTTTTTGTTGAAGAGTGCAAACACTTAAATTAAGTAATTTTGATATGCTGTCCAGACTTCATTTGCATTTTTTTTTTGGTGTTTTAAACTTCTACAACTGCAGGGCATGAGAATACCTTCTTATGATGATGAATTGCTTCATCTGGCTGAGGATTTAGCTCGTAGAATGTTACCAGCATTTGATACTCCGACAGGTATCATCACTGGCTTACCATATAGTATTCAGGGGATGTATTACTAGAAGTTGTTTGGATGAAATGCTTTATTTTTATTTTGCATTTATCTTCATGTGGAAGTTAACCTTACTACAAAGCATACTACATATTTTTTACTGGAAATTTCTTATAAAATATGTAACCTTCCAAAAATGCAATTTTCTATACATCTTACTGTTCTTTTCAAAGTAGAGGTCGATTCAGGATGCAATTCGTGAAAACATGAGATAAGAGTCCAATGTTAATAGTTTTGGGTTGTTATGTAGAATAGATTATTATGTCCCTAACTCATTGACTGATGTGCTTTTTAGCCCCAAAAAGTGCAATAAATTTGGAGGTTTCATCTATTTTCTTGAGGTCTCTGTCATATTCCATCTGACATTTATAAATTATACTTGTTGCAGGAATTCCATTTGGGTCAGTTAATCTATTACACGGCATCGATGAAAATGAAAGCAAGGCAAATCCTCTTTGTACTCTCTTTGCCCTTAAAGAGCCATTAATTCCTCTAATAAATCTTATCGTGTAAAAACATAAAGCAACATGGTGGTTCATGATTGTTTAAATTACCATGGGTAAAAGGAACATTAACTCGTGTTCTGTTATTACTTGCACTGTGTTATGCCTGTTCTGGTAGGAATGTAAATAATTACTAATTTCTATAAGTGTAGTCTGGACTCTGAAACTTACATTCCATGGCTAGTTAGAATGTATATAAACTAGAAATGAAAAGAAAACTTTCAAGATAATTTATGTAAGCTTCATGTAAAATCATAAGACAACTTATTTAAGCTTGTTTGTGCATATGCTGGATGGATATTTACAGAGAGATATCTGCCAGCTTATGTGAGAAATTTAAGCCTAAAGCTTTCAAGATTTCTCAGTCTGCTTACAAGTTGTTTTAAGCAGGGTTATGTTATACTATTTATGTGAAAAAATGCTCCCGTACACTCTGTACTTGATTATTAACATGGTCAGACTGAATTGTCCTAGCTTCTGAGATATGAGTTGTTGTATTCATATGAATTTCAAGATACAACATATGGCGATATGCAATCATTTGTGTGTAATTTATCATATGAAACTACTAATTTATAAATGATTTCATGGGAAGTTGGATTCATTCTAGACTAAGAATTATATATATCTCCTTGTGTGTTTCACACATTTGTTGCTAATGTAAGTACTGATTTGAAGATATTATGTGCTTAGATAACATCAACTGCTGGTGGTGGGACCCTAACATTGGAATTTGGAGTGCTTAGCCGCTTGACAAATGATCCAAGTAAGTACTAAAGCGTTTTAGTCATGCTAATCGAGATTATACCGTCCTCCAGAGTATATAGTTGTCTCTCCTTTATACATGCCATTATTTTCTTATTCTCAATGTCTTAAGAGTCTATATCTTGAAACACCCAGATGAATTTAGAACTAGATTTTCAGTGAGAAGGGCCTATGACATGGATAATGGTCTCGTGGTGCTCTGTGGGTTATCTGTAGAGGCACTTGATTAGAACCTTAATGTCATCTTTCATGTAAGTATGCAGTTGGAGGTTTCATAACTTGTTGCTTGGGATTTAATTGGGTATCTTCAAAGATCTAAATTGTTAGGTTCATTAAGGAAAAGGCTACATATTACTCATCTAAAATTGATGAAAGAAAAGATTCTGGATTATGTTATATCATTAGAAAAAATCAAATCTACATCAGGAAAAGTGAGTCCATTGCACCATCTATAACAAATCTGGTTGTGTTTCTGTAAGTATCTTGGGGAGATGGCAAGTTCTTAATTTGTTGTACTGCTTGTCGGTTTTTTTCAAATTTTCCTTCATCAAAATGCAGTTTTTGAGCAAGTCACAATGAACGCGGTTCAAGGATTATGGGCCCGCCGTTCAAAGATCAACCTACTTGGTGCTCATATAGATGTTTTTTCTGGTGAATGGACTCAAAAGGTTACTTCTCAACCTGGTAACCATTTTAAAAGAGACTTGTATTTTGTGGCATGTATCTGATTATTCTTAGCTATTATAAATAATGATAGCAGCATAATAAGTATTATTTCTTGTTGTTCCATTTCGTAGAATTACTTATCTTTTGTTTGTCAAATGGTTTTTTATCTTTTACATCAACGGTACTTAATTTTTTGACATTTATTTTGAATTACTACGTTTAAAGCATTTTGAAAAGCTGCCAGTAGATAACTCATAACTATGTTTACTTTGAACTAGTTAAGTATATATGTTTGATTTGATTGGCAACTTCTGGTTGTATGGGAAGGAAACGAAGGACCTTTTATTCTTTGTTGGAAAGAGACAATTGATTATGACATAGAAACTTCCAAGTGATTGTAGTTAACTAAAGCGGGACCTAACTGACCATGGTTAGGTTCAAGTTATGCTCTATGCTGTTGCATTAACTTGCATTTTTCTGTTTATTTGTAGGATGCGGGAATAGGAACGAGTATAGACTCTTTCTATGAGTACCTGCTAAAGGTGAGTTTTTCAGATGGAATTATGTGAGGTTTAATTTCTGTAAGCTGGCTCACTGAATTGAAAAATTTTCTGTGCATTTTTTGAACAATTGATTTAATGTTTTCTGCAACATGTAAAAATTCAATTCAGTTGGCTGTCACTTGTACCTGAAACTTAGAAAACCATTAAGCTTTTTGTATACAAGGAGTTCATTATCGGGAAGAACGAAATTGAAAAAAAAAAATCTTATATTTGCTTGGTTGAAAATTGAAAGTAAAAAAAATGCTACATACCAAACATCTTCCATTGCTTTCATGGCTCAGATGCTCATTGTTTGAATTTCTGAGTTGCTAACTGCAATATCAAAGCAACCTACTGCTGCCGCAACAGTTGCTAAATAATTCTGGTAGGAATGCTTGGTTGATGAAGTACTTTGCCAAATGGGTAGTTATTGAAGGCAGGAGCAGGAAAATATGAAAGCTTTACTGTAGTGTTTTGCTAGATTTTAGTTCTAATCGAAGACGTAGAAAGTTGTTGATAACATTCCAGCATTTTCCTTTCCTTTTCCCTTCATCCAACTGGTATCTCTTTCCAAACCTTTTTTAGTGGACATTTCATTAGGTGAATGGATGAAATTATTGAATGAATAATTGTTGTAATATTGGCAAAATGGAGAATGAACACTCGTGAAGTTGCGCCGACGCATATTTTGATCGTGTAGTCCTTTTTTATGGTTCATATAATAGGTGGCTGTTCAAATTAATCTTCCAGGTCAATTCCTTTACCTGGATGTTGTTTCAAGTTTTAGCTATATGACGAAGATAATCATTTTTAATGATGATTGTCTAATGCTTGTTTCCACGAACTTGTTTGCACAGGCTTATTTATTATTTGGTGATGAAGAGTATCTGTTTATGTTTCAAGAAGCTTACAGGGCTGCAATGCACTATCTTTATAATGATCCTTGGTGAGTGAATACATTTTCTAGTCGTTACAACCATGTGAACTTCAGGTTCATTCCACTATTACTCTTCCTTCATTTTTCACCTCTTAATTCACATATCCAATAGTCTGATGATGCTTTTTATCACCTTTAGGTATGTTGAGGTAAACATGAACTCTGCTGCCCTTGTTTGGCCATTATTTAATAGCCTTCAGGCATTCTGGCCTGGACTCCAGGTGATTATAATTAATATTCTCTGTCGTTTTAGGCTTGTATACTGTTGAAGTTGTAGAATTATATATAACTAACTTAAATATAACTGCTCATGAAAATGATGGAAGGTTCTAGCTGGGGATATTGATCCTGCAATTAGAACACATACTGCCTTCTTTAGTGTGTGGAAACGGTATGGTTTCACTCCGGAGGGTTTCAATCTAGCTACTCTCAGTGTTCAGGTAGGTTACTAAATTCTTATCCAAAATTTCAATCTATTGAGTTTATGCAGACAGGAACACATGTTTCTGTTATTCATACATATGATATCAGCCGATTTGTAGCATAGGCTGAATTAACTGGTCATTAAATGTATTATTAAACCTATATAATTCAATTGACTCCTTTCTAGGGGTGGAGCCAAGAATTTATGTTGCGGGATGCAAAAGTTCTTAAAAGATTAGTATGAATAAAAATTCATACATAACAAAATAAAAAAAGTCATAGGTTTTCAGCATATAATTTGTTTTTCATAGAATCTACAATTAAAAAAAATCCAAAAAGCCAAAAACTTCAATATTCGAATGATTCGAAAATAATCCATCAGCAACAATCCAACTACTTATCTAACAATTCAACAATGAATCCTAAATCAACTCATACTCCAATATAAAATGCAATTCAAGGTGCTGGAATACAAGTGAAGTATCTCTAATGCATAGTTCATGGCAGTGCCAAATTGAGTGTTAAATTGGAGCAAGCAAGCCTATTGGAGCTACAACATGTTATAAATCAGAACATGAGAAAATCACAAGCGATCAAATTGTCCAATGTTTAAAAATGTAGTCCAATAATTATTTGTCAAGAAAATGTTAAACACTTCCAAGTCTGGGGTTCTTAGACTTGGGATGTTACTTTAAAATTGCAAAACAGAATGATACCTTAACATACTTTTATTAATATGGAGATTGGTTAGTTACCTTTTGTTAATGGAAAAATTATAAATTTGTTGTAAAATATACATTAATTAGTAAATGACCATTGTATCCCTACAATCATAGTTAATAATTATTGTATCCCTTGTAGCACTAATTCTTCCCTATATTTCTTTATAAATTATACACAATGTCTATTAACTTCTCCTTTCTCTCTAGTTCATAACAAACCAAACATTTTATTCATTTGTAGCGTGACTTTATTTTCAGATAAGTTTACTTACCTTTTGTTACTGTTGAAGGACAATATTTTAACATTAAATTTCATATGTGTCCTAGTCCCTCAAATCACATTTTGGATATGTGATGCCCCAACTGTGTACCTCCTATTGTGACTAGTGTTTCTGGTTCACACTTCCACCATTGGCTTCTTCATTGTGTCATCTTTGCCATCCGCGTCTTTCAGCTATCTACAATCATTTCACAATCAACAAGAATTTGTTAGAACTTTGAGTATGTTTAACACTAAAAATTATAAAATTCAGTTTTAATCTTCAGCGGGGTGTTTCATCAAACACTAAATAGTTGATATTTTAGTTTCTTTTGCATATATAACCAGAAAGAGAAACATTTCCCGTCCACAGTAATAATTTATTTGAAAGAATTACTATAGTTATTTTTTCATTATTTTTTTTATTGTTTAGAAATCTCACCTGTTGCCTATTGGTTAAATGCTTAAACCCAAGGGCCATTCGCCAACTCCAGTTTGTGGTTGAGAAAAAGTGGTTGCCAGCTCCGGTATGGCCAGAGGCAAGATTTTAGATTTCAATGAAATTGGGAATTTTATTTCAATTTCTCCTAGTTGCCACTGCAAGTCTAGAGACGGAAAGAGGAATGAATAATGTACGGGTGATGGGTGAATTGATCAAGTGTATCAGATTTGAGTTGGGCTAAAAAAATTGAAGCAAAAAAATTATTTTGCGATTGGTTTGGGCTGGCTAAGTGAATTTGGGATGATGGTGGACTAATTGTGTAATTTTATTTTTATTGGAAAATGTATTTAACTATTTTGCATATGGGCTTGGCCACTAGGCTACAACCTAGTGTTGCCTCCCTATCTCTGCCCTTGCTCCCTTCTAATATCTTAACTGTGTATGTTAAACGTGTGCAAAAATTTTGAGCTTGAAGGGTTTAAACGAAGTACAATTAATGGGAGACTTTCTAATACCAGCCTGCTAAATTGAGCGTCTTATCACTTCTCAATAGAAAAATATATTTCCAAAATACATATTTTGATACCTTCTTTCCTGGGAAACATGGGCTTCCTCATGTTATTCTCTACTTATTCCTTACCCTGCAGAAAAATTGGAAAGAAAAAAGAAGGATTAGATATGATACATGGACACTCGTTCTAGGGCGGCATGTCCGTGTCCGGCATATGTTGTATTTTGTTGGACACCAACACATCTCGGACAGGACATGTATCCAACAAGCCACTTGCCTTTATCCTGATTTTATATTTATTTTTCAATTATCGACATTTGAGGGATACTTTAGAGACACCCTCGAGCAAGTGTTTCACATGCCAGGTGCCAGCCATGTCACATATCAAAAATTATAGACATAATAAATGAATTTTAATATTCTAAAGAATTTAAATCAACGTCCACGTCCTAATGTTTTTTCAAAAAAATCACGTGTTTGTATCGTGTCCTGTCGAGTCTCATGTCTGTATCCATGAAACTTATAGGATTAGTTTCAGAGAAGTTTCTGTTTTAGTTGATTATAAATTTCATGGTGTGAGCAGAACTCTTTAGACAGATGCCCTACAGAAGACAACATATGAATACACAAATCTCATGCAAATAGAGGCTGATTCTTTTTTTTGTTATAGGCTTATAGCATGCTCTTCAAATATGAATTACTAGTTTTAGCATGATTTTCAATTTATGTCAATTTTTAAATTTATTTCTGGACTCACTATATGGGTAGCTTACTTGACAGTTGAATTGGTGACCTATTGATTTAGTTACTGCACCTTAATTAATGTTTAAGCTGCGTAATATGGATTTACATGCAACAAAGCAACAAATTTGGTTTGGCCAAGGAGATTGAAATGATTTGTAATTAACAAGTGAAGAATTGGAAACTGTATCATATCAAAGGATGGCTAATAGGGTTTCAAGCAGTTGCATGCTTTGTCCACTATGGTGGATATGTTAGCTTTACCTTTTATAAGTTAGTTGGAGCTGATAAAAAACAAGTTGTCATTATATAATGGATGCATATGTGTCAAGGGCATGCACATACACCTGTTTATGCAGTAGGTATGTACTTCTTTTAGACATTTGTGTGTAGTTCTATTTATAAGCATGAATAGTAGAGAAATTGAAAGACATTCAGGCATTTCTTAAGTCATAGTGGCAATTATTTAATTTGGTCGAGTTATTCCAATTCTTCCTGAATCCTGTATTTGTGGATTACATGTTAATTTTTTTTGCTATACCTAGTCACGTCTTTTTTTATTAGATGATTTCCTTAGTACTTGTAAATTCAGTTTCCTCTGTGACATCACTATCTTATCAATTAGTCATTTTTAACTTTTTTAATATTTTGTACAGCAAGGCCAGAAAAGCTATCCACTGCGTCCAGAATTGATAGAGAGCACATATTGGCTGTACAAAGCTACCCGCAATCCCAGGTTGACTTTTCAGTTTAATGAATAAATAGTTTTATATTACCATATTGCCTATGAACCAGGGAACCTTGATACATGTTTGAATTGAAGCATTATCACAAAGGCCAATACAACTGGGAAAACTCTGTTTTCCCAAAATGAAGTTCTATGTTAAAGTGTAGAAAGTCCTCTATGTTTAGCTCTTCTCTGTTCAAACAATTGCTTATACTAGTGATGTTACCCCTTTAAGTCAGGAATATAATGATTGTTCAGAATAATTTTTCCTCAGCAAAAGATATTCCCTTTCTTTAACAACTAAGCTGCCTGCTGGTTTCTGATATTCTTTTGCTAAAAGTTTGCTTATTCCTTCCTTCCTTCCTTCCTTATGCCTTGTTTTGTTTTGGTCCCTTTTCTTTAAATATATAAGCTTGTGGATTGATTGTGTCAATCTTTTACTGTAATAACCCTCAAATAATTACTAAATTACCAGTATATTAGGTTGATTTTGCCAAATTCTGATTTGTCTGTCCTTTTTCCTATTATCCTATCTATATATTCTAACCTAACAAACTGTAACGGAGCAAATACATGGGTATCTTTTTATTATTAATTCTTTAGTGTTCATTCAAATTGACACACATCAAAACTACATGTAGATATCTAGATGCAGGACGAGACATGCTAGCTAGCTTGCAGTATGGGGCTCGGTGCACTTGTGGGTACTGCCATATATCGGATGTAGAGTTTCACCGGCAGGAAGATCACATGGAAAGCTTTTTCTTGGCGGAGACTGTAAGACCTGTTTTACGAGTCTAAAGTTCAAATTTTGTGATTTCACAGGTTGCTTATTAGGATGATTCATTTGCTGGGTTACAAATGGACTGAAAATTTTGTGTCCCTTAAGATGTTGCTGGAATATTTAACATCATGTGGAATCTTGCTTCTCTGGCTGTTATGTAGTAATTCATAAATTTATGGAACCCACTGAATGACCACATATGTTCATATTTGAATGGCACTGCAAGTGTTCGTGCTAAAATCTCTACATTCTACATCCAAGGAGTTCAAACAAAAATTTCTACAGTTTAATAACTTTTGGTGGGAATAATTTTTCTTTGACCAGTAGTGCACAGCTCAGATTATCCTTGGATCTTTGTATTGTTTAGATAATATTAGTTAAGCTTTCAACTGTCTTATAAGCACCAATTCCTTATAGAAAATGGTGGCTGTAATATCTTTGAGCCTTTACATCATTTGGGAAGAAGTGGTAGGGATAATATCTGATTTCCAAATCTATTTATTGTTTCTTCTCCACTTAAATATCCTAATTTTACTCGACACAATTTTCAGTAAGGAGATGAGTTTTCCCATGATCTTTCTATTTTTTCTCTTCATACATTACATAAAATATTAGCTTAGGGCAACTCTCTTCCCTTTTAATATGAAAGGAGCATAGTCCACTGTATGTTAGTTTTGATCAACATAATTTAAGAACATTCATGAAATGAGTTCATTTCAGTTTTAGAAATGTAGAAAGGGTAGGGGCTTTTGAAAGGATTTAAAATGAGGGTAACAAAGAGCAAGCATGAGCTTAAATTATATGAAAAAAGCAGCTAGTAGCCTGCGATTTGAGATGAATAGATGGTAATCGACATTGGCTCCATGAGGAGCTATACGGATGCATCAACAAATCCCAAAAGACAACCAGATTTTTCCCTCCTCTAATATTTATTTGATGAATTCCATTTGATTTCTCCTCTCTCTCGTACTGTGCCAATTCATTCAGGTTAAATATTTGTGGCTACTATTTGATTTAGCTGCCGGACCAGATAACCTTGTTGAGAATGGTCCATACAAGTAAGTTGCAGACATCAACTATTCTGTTTGTTCTAGTTTTGTTTCTTTATTACCCGTGAGTCGTTAGTATGCATGCTTGAGATTAATCATTGGTAAAGCACGTAGCTTAGCATCTAACAGAACTGCACATAAAATAACATTGACATGATAGAGATTATTGAATTCGCCAGGGTGCATATTTCTTTACAGCAAGTAGTCTATTCCTATTTTATTTTTCCAGCTCCTGATGATAAAAATATGCATATAGTCTTATTCATTTTCCTTCCGCTCGATTAGTTGTTCTCTCTATCTCTCTCACGGCCATGTGGAAAAAATCCATTTGCAGGTATATCTTCAGTACAGAAGGCCACTTACTGCCTGCTACTCCACAAATATCTTTAGTACGGGAACATTGTTCATATTTTGGAGCATACTGCAGAAGCAGTAATCTGAGACCAGAAACATTTGTGTCAGACATTTCAAAGGACTCGAGGGAAACTAATCAAAGTCAATCCTACACGGATCCTGATGCTACCAACTTTTTATCACACACTAGATTTAAAAAGTTACCTGTCTCAGGATTGATTAAGGTCAGATTTCATATATTTTGTTGATTTTAATTTTCCTTTTGTATTTTGATATGCTTGGTACCTCTGATACAATCAAGTCTATATTATGTGGTTTAGTATCAAAAACGCATACAGTATTTATTCTTTTTAGTATGACTACAGAACCTGCTCTAATTTTATCAGAAAGCATTCCTCTGAAAAATTTTTGTAACTTATTCTTGTATCATGCATTTCATTGTATGCAGATACGTTGCTTTGAATGGGTATCTTAAATACGATTGTCTGTTCTTCCTTCTTTTCTATTTTCTACTCTTTTTGTTTTTCTGTTCATAATCAATTTTTATCAAGAAGATTACAACCAATAGTGGACTGCCTAACTTTTTCTCCCATCTATCTTACTCGTGTTTTTCCACCTCTATCTGAAAATAAGATAGGCGCTTAACAAGTAATGTATAAGGACTAAAAAAGGCTTTATAACATCCCCAATTAGGTTTTAACTAATGCATGTCGAAAAGATAGTTTTTATTTATGTGAACCTTGTTGAACAAGAATATTATTTTAAAATAGTAGGCTCTTGAACAGTTCTTGGAAAAAATTAAAAGAGTGAAAGACTCAAAATAAGAAAAAATGTTAATAGCAAACTTCTAAGTTTCGCTGTAGTTTAGATTTTGTATGTGGAACCGACATTCTTATAAGAAAATTTGATAAAGAATCTGAGGCCTTTTTTCTTTTGAAACTTGTGATGGAGAAGATCTTATACATAATATCCTGATATTTATCATTCAACGGTACTCCAAACTATTGTTGCTAATTGATGCTTTATCTTGTCATGCAATTACTACCTTTTATTAGAGTAAAAACTCTTTTGTGTTATTACAGTCCATCTTTATGGCATGTTTACTAGAGGTATATCATAAACATTCGGGGGAAAAAAAATGTTGGCCTTTCAGGCCAGATAATTTATTGCAAATGTTTTTGCTCTAAGTATCCTCTCCATGTATGACAGGGGTTCTGTCCAGGACTAACTCATGAGCAACGGTTTGGCATATCATACGTGGCTTCAGAGGAAGACATTGGGGATGCGTCATCAAGCCCAAGAAAGACTGAAGTGGTTCAGAGTCATCCAGTGATGGTGGTTTTAAACCCCAGTTCTACTTCTGAACCATCTGATGTCCACAAGGATCTCGATAATCATCAGGAATCTGACAGGGAGAAACAGAGTGTTCCTGAACTAGAGATTGAGGAAAGTGTGAGTGGCAAATGAAATGCTTGAAGGATGAGATTGTTGGAGGCAAATTCATAATGATGAGAGCTATCCATTACTGCAAAAAGATGGTTGAATGAATAGACTGAAGGTCGAACATTTTGAGGGTTCTGTAGGTGGAGCAATATTTGTTAGTGATTGAATTCCCGGATTTTTGACAAGTGCAGTCTTCAAGCCCATCGGTGAAAAAGAAAAAAATTGCCGGATCTCAGGTGGACATCATACTGACACACTTAACTTTCAAAAGTCGAAGTAGGAATGTGATATATACTCAAGATGTTACAGCTGTTATTTAGGACGACTCGAAATTCACCCAGATAATCTCATCTACCTATTTTGGTTCTAAGAACAGTTTTGTAAAACATATGCAGGTACACTACTGGAGGGCAGTGACTGAGGACATTTTGCCTCATTTGTCCTCTAATTTAGTCTGAAAAGTTTCTGTTCTATTTTAGGAAGGTCAAAGCTTTGAATGGCCTTGTGATTGTTATTGTGGTGCAATTTCTAATGCTTGTTTTTCTTCTTCAACGCTGTAAATGGATTTTGGCCAGTGGGCGTTAGAATACACCGAGTAAAATTCCCTTTTGCAATTGACTTTGTTGACCTTGAAATTGAAATAAACAAATTCTTCCCACTTAATCAAGATTTTTTCCTCCTAAACCAACAGATTCTCTGCTCAAGGAGGAGCAAGAGAAATGACTATTCGATAGGAGATTATTCAGATTTGCATGCCTTTGTTCTCGAATATCATTATTTATAGATTTCTAATGATGTCATGGGGACAATTGATTTCTTTCTGTAAAGGACAGATGACAGCTCTTAATTAGTTCATTTCTAACTAAATCTGTTAACTTGTCATGTTTTATTCACTAGTACACGTGTTTTTCATTTATTGGTTATGAAGTCATGTTTAATATTCTTATTTACGTGTGTTTTAATAATAGTTTTTGCTGATGAAAGTATGTTGGCTTGTCATTTATGTTCACTTTGCGTTATTAGTGGTTACTAGTGTTACGAGTTCGCATGTGGTTTGGTTCTATAAAATGTTCGCTAGTAGGTGCATGTCCTCGCTTCTAATCCTGGTAATTTTTTATTGATAACAAATAGTCATCGGAGTTCGGATCTAATCATTTATGTTAGGTTTACGACATAGATTATTGATCCTTTGGGAAAACAATTACATAGAATGTTTTCCCAAAGTGATCCTCAAAATAGTTCGTTTAGTGATAGATTTCTGCATTTTTTTTGTTTGGACTTAGGTAATCAAGTTTCAACGGACTAATTTTGAGGAGTGACGACCTTCCTCTCTGATTCGCCACTCGGATAAATTGGATGCGATCACAGTTTATGCACACTTGGATCGAATACTCGAAAAGCGGTTCTTCTCCCCTTTACGATATGCGGGCGGGACCCTGGATGGTAAGAGCGCACCATGATTTTATCTCCATATGATATTTGCTTTATAACATAAATATTGCCTTCCAACCGTTGCGGGAATTAGAATCTCTGATACTCCATAAAACTCTTACACTTTACCACTGAGCTATGCTTATAGAGGGCACTATTAGATATATGATTTTATTTGTGGATGGCGATGTTCTATCATCGTCTTTGTCAACTTTACTCTTTTTTTTGTCCGTCTTTGTTACGCTCTTTGTAATAGCATCAACAAGTAGCCAAGATTAATAAATAGACAAAAGAGGCTAACCAATTGGTAGCATTCTTTTGCCATGTTTTTGCATTTTCCATGTGCATTTGGGAGTAATGAATATAGGTGAAGAGGTGTTAGTTCCGGTTGATTGCTGCATCCTCGGTTGTCGACAATGCATTCCATTTTGCCAAACTTGATTCCGTCAAAGCACTTTTGATCTATTACTACTCATCTTGGAGTTGCCCATTAGTATGGAAACTCAAAAGTCAAGAAACGGGATGTTATGGGAACTCTGGATGCCTTCCATAGAGATTTGCCAGGTTACCTTATTAAAATGTAATCCCTTTGGCTGACTTGGCTAGTCAGTTTTATACTTGTTGATGTAGTACATATAGGGATGGCAACGGGGCGGGGCGGGGATGCCCTCTCCGTCCCCCGCCCCGTTAAGAAATTCATTCTCTGTCCCCGCCCCGTTCCCCGTTTAAGGCGGGGCGGGGCGGGGCGGGGGTGGGGTTATTCCCCCTTTAGATTTTTTTTTTTTTTTTTGTTTTTTTTTTTTTCTTTTTTTTT